GGGCCGGGCAGGGCCGGGGGAGGCGCGGGAAGGGCCGGAAAGTAACGGGCCGTGGGGTCCCCGCCGGGCTGGGGCCGTGGAGCGGGGCGGTGTCCGCGTCCTGGCCCCGAGCGCTGTGGGGGAACAGCTGCGGGGGAGGGAGGGGGGGTCGGACCCACCTGTGGGCGCGGAGCCCCCCCGTGTTCGTGTCCCAGGAGGTTCCGAGCCAAACCGAGGAGGGGGTGTCTGTGTGTGTCTCCTCCAAACAGCACATCACCCGTGTGTGCGGCTACAGGCCAGCTGGCACCTGAACAGCGGGTCCGGAGTTCTGAGGAAAAAATCATGGAATCATAGAATGGTTCAGGTTGGAAGGGACCTTAAAGACCATCGAGTTCCAACCCCCCTGCCAGGGGTAGGGACACCTCCCACTAGAGCCCCATCCAGCCTGGTCTTGAACACTTCAGGGATGGGGCATCCACAGCTTCTCTGGGCAACCTGTTCCAGTGCCTCACCACCTTCACAGAAAAGAATTTCTTCCTGATATCTAATCTAAATCTCCCCTCTCTCAGTTTATAACCATTACTCTTCGGCTTATCACTACATGACCTTGTAAAAATTCCCTCTCCAGCTTTCTTGTAGGCCCTCTTCAGATACTGGACAGGTAATACACAGCGTCTCTGGAACTTTCTCTTTTCCAGGCTGAACAGCCCCAACTCTTATCCTGTCCTCATAGGAGGTGCTCCAGCCCTCTGATCATTGTGGCCCTCATCTGGAGGGACCTCCAACAGGTCCATGTCCTTCTTATGTTGGGAGTTCCAGAGGTAGATGCGGTACCCCAGGTGGGGTGTCAGGAGAGCAGAGGGGCAGAATCACCTCCCTCAACTTGCTGACCATGCTGCTTTTGATGTTTCATATTTCTTTCTCTTTTTGATGTTTCATATTTCTCTAAAATATATTAATTGTTACTGCCTGTATTAGCTTATGTACAAACAGAGGTTGCTGTAAAAGAAAGAAATACATAACTCCTCCTCGCTGTTTCTAAGATTTCCCACAGTGACTATTTAAAGTGAAGGACAGAGCATGGCCCCTGTTGGGATGTACTGGCAGGTTGTTCCCTGCTGCTCCTTCCCATCCCAGTGAGCATCACGCCTCTGGTCCAGCGCGGCGTGGGCATGCACCACCCTCTCACCCTTTGAGAGCCAAAGGGCTTGGGCTGGGGGTGAGGGACTGCAGGTTGCCCTCCTCAGTGCAGTCATGCTTGGTGATGGGGAAAGAGGGACCGTGGTATTTTTCTCTAGCAAATGTAACAAAAAAGTAATTTCATGGATTCAAAAACGATGGAATACAAGTAAGCATGGAAAACCTCCAGTTATTTCTCGCCTAAGGCTGTTGTATCATTTTTATCAGAAGCGTTTGCTGCTACTAGGAAATACTTCAGCGTGGTGGTGGCGGTGGGGCTGCACGAGGCTGTAGGAGAATTAAAACAAGCTTCCGTGCAAGCCTGGATTCTCACATGCAAAACAATGCAGCACAAACGAGTGCTGCGTGGGTTTGAATAACATGAACTTCAAGTCTCTGTGCATACAGACCATGAAAAACAGGTTCCTTGAAAGTGAAATTAACAAGTCTGGTTTCCTCCTAGCTTTTGTCTTTAGTCTTCCAAACTCCCTCACCTCAGATAACCACAGATCTCCACCGACATACCGTGTGTGATGCTCCCAACAGGCAGGAGGAAAGACGTGTAGGGTTAATCTCGAGTTAGGAATGTGCTCCTTGGCCAGGCAGTATGTCCCCCGCTGCAGCTCTCAGCGCAGGGGTCAGCGAGGGCAGGTTTCCTCTCCCTCTACACCAGTTGGGAACACACTGGGAGAAGGCGGTGAGTGGGAGCCATCAGCGTGGATTGACCAAGCATGCCTGGCCATAAACTGCTCTGGAGATGAGGGGAGAGCAGGGAACAGCATTTACCTTGAGTTCAGCACAGATGTCACTGTCTCCCATAACGTTCTTGTATCCGAGTTAGGATGTTATAGTCTGGATGGGGAACAACCAGATGGGTAAAAAAACCATCAGGGTGGTTGGTTGGGCTTGGAGGGGGTCTGGTTGATGGGTCTTCTCTACCTGGTAAGAATGGGAGCACCTCAGGGAGCTGGCCTGGGATGAGGAGATGGAGAGTTCCATCATTTGGTTTGCTGATGACACCAAACAGGGGGACTAGTCGGTGTGCTTGAGGGCAGGGCTACCATCCTGAGGGACCTGGACAGGGTGGAGGAATGGGCCATGAAATTCAACAGAAAGTCTTGCACTTGGGTGCCAGGGAGTGATGAGGGCGGGCTGCTCCCTGGAGAATGGGGCTGAGGAGCACAGCACCATGGCTGGCAGCAGGGCTTCACCAGGGCCTGGCCTGCACGTGGCAAACACCACCCGGGGCAGTTGAGAGGCCTCATCACCCAGCAGGCTCGTGGGGACAGGGCAGGGCTGAGGTCAGGCAGGGACATCAATCTGCAGATCAGGATCAGGCCCTGCAAGGGGAACCAGGGTTAAGTGTGGCTCTGGGGGGGCTGGAGGGCCCTGGGGACCTCAGCCTGCTGGTGGGGCCAGGCTCACTGGGCCCATGGCCAGCCAGGCAGGGCTGTGGGGACATGGAGACCAATGTCCTCCAACACCGCCGGGGCAGGGCCGAAATGGTGTCCTGGGCCGAAATGATGTCCTGGGCCATGGGCAGTGTGGGTGGTGCCCTGGGGAGGGGGGTCAGGGCCTGTTGGTGCTCTTGGGGCCCCGTCCCCAGGGAGGAGCCACCCCTGTGCTGATAAAGACTGGGAGCAGCTCCGAGGGAACAGCCCTGGGGGGGGTGGTGAGGGGGACATGGGCTATCAACAGGTCCTGGCAGCAATGATGGCCAACAGCAGCCTGGGCTATACAAACCAGGGCAGAGCCAGAGGTTGAGGGGAGTTGTTATCCCCCTCCATGCAGTACTTGTTAGACCACCTGGTCCAGATACTGCATCCAGCTTTGGGCTCCCCAGTACAAGACACCAATAAACTGGATCAACTGCAGAGGAGGCCACTGAGGCAGTGGTGCTGGAGCACTGGCCCTGTGGGGAGAGTCTGAGGCTGGGGCTTCTTCAGCCTGGAGCAGGGATGGCTTCGGGGAGGGGATGGACCTTACAGAAGCCCCCAGTGCCCCTGGGGAGATCACTGAGGAGATGGCGCACGGTGGAAGGAGAGGACCTTGGCATGAGTTGAATGAAGGGAGGCTCAGCCTGGAGCCTCCCTTGAAGGGAAGCCTCTCCCATGAGGACAGTCAGGCAGAGGCACAGGCTGTCCAGAGAGGCTCTCCAGTCTTCATCCTCAAACGACTTGAAGACTGGACAGGATAAAGTCTTGAGAAGCTTGGCCTGACCTCAGAGCTGACCTGCTGTGAGCAGGAAGTTGGAGCAGAACCTCCTGAGGTCCTTCCCAGCGTGAGCTACCCTGTGATGAAACCACGAGATTTCTGTCCCTTTTTTCAAATGTCATTGAGATGTTAGAAAGGTCAAAGGTCATCTGGGGACACAAGTGACCTAATGGGTGGACAGCGATAGGCACACACACCACCTCAGCCCATAAACCATGTTTCCTTCTGAAACCAGGCCGAGGGACAGCGTCACTGAACTCAGGTACCACATACCCTGGCTGTAGCAATTAAGGTTGAAAGACAGTGGTGAGTCTCACACCCTGCCACTGCACGTGGCAGCCAGGCCCCACTCAGGCCTCATCCCTGGAGCTTATCACCTTGCAAAACTCCTCATCAAATACTACCCTTGGCCCCTACATGGAGTATTGGTGTGACCCCTGCCCGCAGCTCCTGATGGACCACGGCTGGGTGCCCCCTCTAAAATCTATGGCATCGTTTGCTGTCACAATACTAATATGCTAGATTTTACTACTTTTTAAAATAAACTGTCTATGGCATTCACAGTAAGTGAAAAATAAACAGACTACCAGTACTTTCTTTTTTTTCATTTGAATGCAGAATTTATTTCAAACAAATAATTTTAAATATGAAAATCCTATAAATTATGAACATTTGTAGCATACACTTTTACCAAAGAAAAAGCTTGGAAGAGCGAAGATGTCAAAATCTGGCTCTACTAAAGTGAATGGAGCAGATAGCTATTCAAAGGGTATTTCTCCCTATGTTTTCATGCCAATTGCCTGTTTTACAGAATACCATTATTCGGTGTAAATATTAGTTTGCAGATCCTTGGTAGGCTGCAGTCTTCCCCAACTGATTTATGACCAAAAGCTTTCATTAAATGAAGCCACCCGATTTCCTGTACGTACACAGCATAGCAAATGAAAAAAAAATTATGCCAACAAGGTGAGAAGTTATCCCAACTTCTGTTGAACAGGTACAAAATATTTACAAATAAAAATGTTCTAAACCGTCCACTCCTAGTAAAGAGAAACTGTATGACCATTTACTTCCCTTGTAAACGTTTATTTTATTATTCTTTACCTTATGTAGGCTGGTACTGCCAGGTTTTGGATTAACATATTTTGCAGAAATGTACAGCAGCGGCAATTCCTCCCTGATACTCAGCTGGTTTTATTGTCTTACTCTACAGAACTCTGTGCTGTTGTGGTTTGGGGTGGGCTGGCCACCAGAATACACAGAATACAGCCATTTACAGAGAAACACAATTTCTCCTCAGGATACCGCATTTTACAAGATTGCAATTATATGGTAGTCATTTCCTTCCAGCATTGTATATGTCAGCTTATGCTTACATCCTTCCAAACCAGGCATGACGTAGAGCTCAGTTTTGACTATAAATACATAGTTTATGTTAGTCCTTCTATGTACAATAAAAGACAAATTACCCCAGTAATAATACTTATATATTGGCGCAGATTTGAACTACAGACCCACTTCTTTAACGAAGTTTACAGTATAAAAAAATAAGGATGCCAGTTACCTACTATAATATTTTCATATTTTAGTTTCTTGTGGAGTAGTCAGAGATACAAGCATTGCTTGTTTTGTGTAAAATATATTATTTTAAAATACCAGTATACTATCCTTCTAGTTACAAAAATATAATTATGTCCTACAGAAATTTTATTGAATTAAAAAGTTTATCAAAAATATGGATCATCATTTTAGACCATAGGTGGTATTAGAAATAAAGTAAAAGTAAATGTATAATTATTTAAAAATACTATCTGCTGGCTCAGTGAGCCACTCCTGATCTTGTATAAAAACAGATCAAAACTTAGTCATAAATTTAATGGCCAGGGATGAGTTTTGGCTACTGAGTAATAATACTACATTATTAGTGTGGCTGAAGAAAAGCCACTGGAAAATGTTTACAGCTGTTCAGTTCGAAGGGTAAAATTAGCATGGTGACAGTGCGAATGCTTGAAAAATATCAAAAAGGGAAAGAGCATTTCTTACTGGTTTTATTTACTCAGTATGTATAAACCAGCCAGTCTGTAGGTGCAGGTGTGACCTGGCCAAGTGTCCTCTCGGGCCGCTTCGGGTGGTGCTGCCCTGAAGGAGCCCAGCAGCTGCCAGTGCCTCACCCCGGGACCAGCCCGGCACAGAGGCAGCAGCAGAACTCTGGGATGTAAGGAGTTGTACTGGCGAGGGTTGTCTTCCCAATATTAGGACAACTTAGGATTCAACCTATGAGGTTTACATAGAAAATAAATAGAGTAAATCTTTTTACCTTTTCCATGGTTTAAAATGTCGGATTATTAATCCAAATTAACCTGTTCCTAAATCAAAGGCAGAAATCTGGCCATTCATCAGTTATGAACCTCCCCTGTCTGAAAAGCAGATTTCCATGCTCAGCTGTGTTTCTTAACATCCTCAGGAATTGTGGTGGGTTTTCCAGCGCTGTGCCCTCTGCCAAGCTGTCTCCCGTGCACTGCAGCACTTCTGTAACTCAACATTGTTCACTGCTCTTGTAATGCTGAGGAGAAACATCCCGGTGTGGAATCCGCCTCAACTGCACGGCAGAACAAAGGCCACCAGGGACACTGCTGCTGCGCCTCCCAGGAATGCAGAAAAAGAACATTCATAGAGAATATGCTGTAAAAATTGAACAGGTTTTGTTTTGTGGGGGTGTTTGTTGGGTGGGATGGATTGGCATTATCACACTTGATCTGGTAAATGAGGAAAATTGGAGAAACAGCCATTTATCAGCAAAGAAAACTCTTGTTTTTCTGTTAAGTCTCGTAACAAAAAGTAGCTCAAGCTAGAATTTATCCATTCCAGCACTGCGAGCTGGCAGGAGCCTAAGCCACTGCTTGCTGACTCAGAGGAAAGCCATCTCTCGAGTTACACTGCCCAAAGCTCCTCAGTTGTTTACCTTCTATTATGTTGGGAAGAGATTTTTTAACATTCTTTTTCCCTGCTAGGGGAAAAAAACAACAGTGAAGCCTCATATTTAATACAAAAGTCAAATGCTCAACGAATGTAACATACTAACTTCTTGAAAACTAATGAAGTTGTACCAATTTATAGCAGCACAAGAACTGGCTCGAAGTATTTTACATGGTTTTGCCTGCCCAGAAACTACCGAGCTGTCGTGCCATCTTAGTCCCCGGGCCCTTCATAGCTCCGATTCTTTATCGATCTCATCTAGGTAGTATTCATCATCGGTGGTGGTATCACTGTCTGAATCCGAATAAGCTGCCGGGTCTTCCTGATAGATATCAATTGGCTCTCGGGGGGATGAAGCAGCCGATGACATCTTGCTCCCAGCAGAACTTGAGCTCAAAAGCTCAGCCCTGTTGATAGAAGAGCCCTCTCCATCTCTGAGAGCACCAGGGTTGTTAAGAAGACAAGGTCTCCATAACCGCCCTTCGGTGAGTGACCTCTTGATATTTTCCAGGAAAGCCAACTGTTGTTCTTTGCCAAATATACCAAATTCAACAGACGGATACATCAAATTTCTAGTGCCGTAACTTTTTTCATCGTCTGAGGCCCAGTTTTCATTTTCATCACAAGACAACAGCTCCGAGTAAGATTTAAATCTCTTCCCGTGTAGACCATCTGTTGGTAGAACATTGCTTCCCGAGGAGAAGGGCTCGTGGGAATCTCGAGCACAAACACTCTCAGAGAGGTGACGCTCCCGCTGGCTCCTGGCATGGTTCTTGCGCAACTGGTAGCCGTGCAAGTTGGCATTTTTTACGCCAGCAAACTGAGAGGTGTTTTGACACTGACCAAGCACCGTCTGGGAAGTCAAGTTTTGCTGTGGACATACGTCTGCCTGCAAGCAGCTATTTACATACGTGTTTGAGTTTTTGTCAGTTAAAAGTGGCAAGGGAGGAGTGCAGGCACGACTGCCAGCTCTTCTTTTCTCACCATCCAGTGGGTCTGATGCAGTAGCACTGGGAGAGATGGGCTGGCTTTTGCTTTCTAACCTGAGATCGAGTGTTTGGGAATTCTTATTTCTTGTGGTTACTGCTTTATCTGGAAACAGGGTTGTAAGACTTGGCCTATTTCCCGCTTTCACTGTAGGTGTTTTGGGACTGATGGCTTCCTTCTGGGTGTATGAGCTTGTAAAAGACCTCCAATTGGTGTTATTAACAAGCAAAGAAGGATCATTCTGATTTTCAGTTGTCTTCTTCTCAGCTGTTCTTGGCGTATTCTTATCAGGGTCCAGACTGTGATTCTGATTTTCCTTGTCCAACTGCAGGAATGGCTGATGGGAATCTGTTGAAATCAATGAATCAGAAGACATGTCGACCTCTAAAGCGGCATTTCCACCATTCTGTGAAAAAATGTTACTTATGTGCGGTTTGGGGGGTAAATTTTTACTTGAAAATTTTCGACTTGTTTTGCAAACAGCTGCCAGTTTATTTTTAATTGAAGCTCTGTTTTTCCTTTTTTCTATATCTTTGACTCTGTCTCTTGTGCAGTCAGAGAGAAGCTTGTTCTCATCTTCTGCACTTGGTGTTGTCTTCTGATGTTGGGTAACCCTGAGGACTTCATCTTTACAGTTAATGTTCAGGCAGCCTTCACTGTGTCTCTCTGATTCCTGCAAACTACTACAATCGCTACCCTTTTGAGTACTCTGTGACTTTTGTTCTTTTTTGGTTTTTGAATTCTTTAAGTCATCAGTATCTGTGCTAACCCCTTCATCTAGCTGAAGTAATGGATCAGCACTGGAAGCTGTGCTTACCTCACACACTTTGTTCTGAGACTCTGAAAGCACTTTGCTACAAGAGTTTAAATAATTTGCATTTTTTCTTGAACTGTCAGCCCTTAATTGCAGCCCACTATGCTTATTATTATACAGAGGGGTGGTTTGGTGTAGGAAATTTACTCTCTGTTTGACTTGGGTACTATCCTTGTGCGTGTCTTCTGCAGGAGGAAGCGGCACATCAGCACGCTCTGTGTTACCATTCCTTCCAAGGAATGGTTCCCTCTCTCCTGGGTGGAGGAGTGAGCTATTCAGATTTTTATTGGTGTTCACTTTAGGGGGCTGACAGCAGTTTTCAGAGTTTCCCTTCTGCATAGTATTTTTATTTGTTGAAGTAGAATACAAAGGATTCTTGAAATGTCCGCCTGGCTTGGGAGGGGCTGATAAAGTGGACATTAGTGGTGTGGCTGTTTGTAAAATGTCCTTCTTGTCTTTTAGACATATTTCTGTGTTTTGGCTGCTTGAAGCGTCAGAAATGACCTTACCTGACTTTGCCACTACTGCAGTGGATTGTGGACCACCAAAAGAAATTTCTTTTGTCACCGTGTCAGAAAGCCCATTTTCTGCGATTGAAAGATCTGCTGAGCTATCTGTCCTGCTATGTACCATACTCACTGACTTTGAAGTACATCTCTTCTCAGAGCTAGGAGCTTCACTATCAACAGCAGTTCCTACGTCCTGAGATGTGACCAAAGCTGAAGATACTTGGTCAGAAGAATATGAAGGCACCTCTTTTTCTGAAGTACTGGGGAAAAAAACATTTGCTAAACTCACATGACCTTCATTTCTCTTACTTCGTATTCTTGGTGACTGAGCACTTTCTTTGGGACAAGTTAAATCTGCATCCTCTGGATTATCTCTAAAGAGGCTACAAAATGTTCTTGAATGTCTCCGTGGTAACGTGTAATAAATTGAAACAAGTTCATGATACTTGACATGATCTTCATCAACACAAACTGTAAATGTGCTTGTAGTTTTATACTTCTGCAAAAAATTTCCCCTCTCCTTACAATCTGCAAACACAGAGGATTCTCTTCTTAAATGTTTACATCTGTCTGTCAGTTCAACTGATGTACTACTACTTACTGAATCATTAGGACTTCTGGTTAAAGGACTGGGGTAATCTTTCTCTTTGTTACTTGCAGCAGCATTTAATGATGCTGACGTATAAAAGGGATGTTTTGAGTCTAAACAAGACACATCTCTTTGATTAGAACAAAAGGCACCAGCTCTATGTGGAGTTTCAGACCTTAAGCAACTGTATGCTGTTCTGCCTTCTCTAGGTAAAGAGATGGGCGTATCTGACATACTACTACCAGCAATGCTGGCTGATTTCCTAGGCAAAGTGTAATAAATAACCAGTGGGTCAAGAGATTTGGGGCTGTTTCTGCTAGGGGAGCCAGTAATGCTGCAGCTACTGGTCTGCCTCAGCAAGCCGTCTTGCTTGTGAAGCCTTTCAATACAAGGTGAATTATTCCTTTCTTTTTCAAGGCAAAAATAACTTAAACTATGTTCAGAGATCTTGGGTTCTCCATCAAAGTTATGCATATAAACATTTCCAGAATTTCCATTTTGTGGAGAACTAGTAGTGAATTGTCCGTTACAGTTCTTAGTAAATAAAGTGCTTGCATTTTGCGGTGTTTTCTGTGAAATCGTTTTGGTAACACCTATTCTGCTCACTTGAGCTGCTTTTCCACCTTCTGCTTGAGGTTCAGTAACCGTGCAATTTACTGAAGTTAGTGTTCCTGAACGTTTAGAATTGTCTTTATGAGAAAGTGCTTGTGGAGAGCTTTGTGAGGAGCTAGATGAACGTTCAGGAGGACAGGACAACATGCCTTGACAGTTTTCCAGTTTTTCAGTGGGTGGAGCAGAAGCAGCATTCAGCAGTGAGGGGTGCCTCTTTGGAGCAGCTTGGCCAACGGCTTCTGCACTCCGATTATCCTGTTTGATGCTCTCTCTTTTTGCTGTGTAATACAGATTATGTTCCCATTCTTTCTGACTTGGAAGAAAAGGTTCCTTCCTGCTCTCAGCAGCTGGCAAAATGCAGGGAGGCTGACGGAACACACTGTTGGGTGGGCAATTGCTTTCCTTCATTCTTACATTTCTTTTTTCACCGTTTGATGTATGTATTTTTGCAATATCTCCTCTGGCAGTGAATTGGGTTTGTCTCTTTGATCTCATTGTGTTAAAGAGAGATGCATCGCTTTGCAGCATGGCAGAAGCAGAGCTGTTAGAGGGAAAACTCTGGGTGTTGATGTAGTTTGTATTGGCTTGTTGAGAAACTGACGGTAACGGCATTTCTTCATCTGGTTGCTTCATACCTTCAACCTTTTCTAGTTGTGTAAAGTCTGCCTTAGTACTCCTTTGGGAAACGGAGGCTGAATTCCTGTTCAGTCCTATAGGTTTTGTTTGGTCCTTCAAATTAGGAAAGACTGAGTCATCAGTTCTGATACTAGATGAAGAAACTGAAGAGTTACAACTTAGCCAAGGCTGACAGCCCTCGGTGAATTCTGAAAAAGTTCTATTTGCACTTCTTGTTATCCTTTTCATATTCATATTTTCTGGAGAATACACGTGAAAATCGTTCTGCAAGCGCTGAGAACCAAACTTGGCATTCTTTGTATGTGCCCACTGCTGGTCATTTAAATTAGCCAGAATCGCTTCAAAGCTGGCATCAGGAGAAACAAATGCTTCGTCACTGTAGTACTGAGGGATATCAGCCCAAGAAGAATAGCTGTCTTTTTTTCCATAATGAGAATTTTTTTGGTTTGCGTACCACTTGCCATGAGAAGAAGTGTCTCTATAGTAGGCTCTAGAGAGATTATTTTCCGATTTGTATAATGGATAATTTTCCCAGTTATCAAAGGGCAAAGGAGAAGTAGCTTTGTCAGGGCAACTAATTCTACTAAAGCAATTAGTGCTGGAAATAGATCTTCTGTAGTGGTGTTTCGAGTGGTGACATGCATAGTTCTTGGTTTCTTGCAGAGAGCTAGGATATCCACCATGGTCTGTAGCATGAACCTCCATCAGTGATTGGGTTCTAAACATTTTGTCTTGAGTTGATGTTTGTCCAGGAGAGTCTGGTGTGTTGTTCCATACAATAGAAGACAGAGGAATTCTCTTTGGGTTCTGTCGACCAAACCTTGGTACAAAACCATTACTGCTCTCCCTTGCCAACGAATGTTGTAAACTAGATGCTGATAGCTGGTCAGAAGATACTGATGACGAACATCTCTGAAGGGAACATACAGAGTAACTTCTGCCAACCGTACTACTGTTCATACAACTCTTGTGCCTAAATCCACTGTGATGTGTTATGGAAGGAGGATATAAGCTACCTTCTGAAGACCGTCCAAAGGAAACAGAAGACAGCCTCCTGCTTAGTGGAGGAGGATTTCCATCAACTGGATCACCATATTTGTAATCATCTTGAAAGGCTGTCTGGTGCCAGTTTATATATGCACTGTGTAATTTTCTTGGTCTGATGAAAAACTTGTGTTCATCTTTGGCTCTTATTGTTCTCAGTCCGTCAGGGAAAAATGTGCTAGGCATGTCACTCCAGTCATTTCTGTGTTGCCCCCTACTAGCAGTCTGTCTCTTTGAAGTAGGGAATGCAGTACTGTATTGGATATTTGATGTGCTGCCAGTAGAAACTGTCCTGTCCAGTGGGTCTTGGGCTTGTTCCTGGGCCAGCTGGTCATCCAGATCATTTAGAACTGCACAGGAAAAAAACAAAAGATACTTGCTTTGGTTTTCTTTAATGATCTTCTGATGATTTATGTTTAAAAGTTTCATGTACTATCTTAATAATCAGAACTGGTTTTGAAAGGAGTCAGCTTCTCAGCATTCTAAACCCTTCCCAAACCTGTGTTCTTCCTCCACTGGACCTTTCAGCAGTCACCCATTATGACTACAAGTTAAAAAATGTGCTGCTCCATGACTGATCTGAAAAACTGCTCTTTATGTAAATGTTAGTCTTTATGCTATTGAAAAGAAAAACAAAACAATTTGAACCCTGAATTCTTACCCACGTGCTATATATGCATGTGTGTGTGGTAAACTTTCCAAATCTAGTTTGTAACAAAAAATCCCTGAAAAGAATTCGCAAGGCGAACGTGGACCTTTCTATGTGTTCACAAAGCACAGTTATCATGTAACTGTAACAAAACACAGAATCCTGCAAACCATCAAATAAGCATAGCCAGTAGTCTGGCACGTCCACTGTTTGTTTCATTCAGAAAAGAAGTTCTCTGCTAAATTGTAGCTTATTACTTTAAAATGAGAACTGAAAATGGCATTTTCTGGATAGAAAGGGTAATTAAATAGTTAGGAACCTGTGATTCATTCTAGTAACAAAGCTGTACTTATAGATATATATATATAGACAGTCTCATGAACTGGAATTAAACACTATATAGCTCAGTTAAGCAAGATATTTACTTATAAGACTAAGTGACAGCAATGTATTTAAAGTATTTTTACTGGCAAAACAAATTATGCCTTCGCTAATTGTATTCTTTTTGTATTTTGAAAATACCACACATAAGATATGAACACAAATGGATATGGCTCTTTTGTTACCTAATCCGTTTAAATTAAAAACACTGACTGATGAGTCATTACAGATCTGTGCTAATAGTACAGAATCATTAAGAAAACATTGCTAGGTATGTATGGCTAGAATAAAAGGTGATACAAAAATACTATCATTTTCTGTTTTTCTAAATTTCTCTTCACAGGAGAGAGTCAGCTTAGAACAAGAAAAAAGACAAGCTGTTTCTAAGTCTTCCATTTGGAGGACGTCATCCAAGCTATGTACAGGTTTTCTCTGTCAGTGGGCAAGTGTGCACAGTTACAACTGACACCCAAAAGCAATGAAAGGCATGTGAGTTTCAGAAGAATGACTGTACACCTTGCAGTGCTCTCCTCTTCCAGCACTGCCGACTCAGCCACTGCTTCCTGATCAATCATGCTTTTGATCTGTGATCTCTTGTAATTCTGGGCGGTAGAAAGAGATTTTTTTTGCATAGATCTCAGGAAGTTTAAGGAAGAACACCACTGTACTTCCATAGGCTGGCTTCTGATCTTGCCTTGCTTCCCAGCAGTGAGAAAAAAAGAACTAGCAACTTTCAACTGGTGCTATAAGGGCTCCCAGAAAGTTAAGTGAATGTCACCATGCTTCTTGCTTCTGTGGTTTGAGGCTTTACAATTCATAAAACCAGGCCCAGTAATTCATCACCATCAAAATGATGCACGCAGGTAACTGGGATTAAATTCTTGTCACATAACTATATTTCTGCATCTGAAGGATGCAGTATGGGCTCCTGCCAGAATCAGCGAAGAGAAATGTATGCTTTTAAGCTGTGATTCTTCTGATGTGGATCAGTATGAGATGAAATGCTTTCTAAGAGTGACCAGAGACATGCCTGAAGTCACTGACAAGAGTAGACATTCTGCCATCAGATGAAGCCAGCAAAAAATAGCCACTATGATAGAAAATAATGTGCCATACCTTTACATCCCATGCCTTTGCAGACTATTCTCTGAAACCAGTCACCACAGTCACTTGTGACAACAATAATATCAGAACAAAGTAAGGACACACACTTACCACTGAAAAGCTCCTTCTCTAGCTGTTCATTCCATTCCTGTATACTTTTCTCCATCATTTCATTTTGGTTTGCGTCAAAAGAATGACCACTTCTTTCAGCTGACATTGGGGAATTACACATTTCAGCCTGTTAAAAATTGTAAGACAACATGAGTTTAGTTCTATTTGTGGGTTCAAATCATGTTTCATGTCACATCACAAATCATGTCACAACTCACAGAGGTCAGTAACTCTTTGTGGGTCCATTAAATACTGTACTATTAAAATACACAAGTGAGGATTGTAAAGTTGCATGCATTTTAGGGACTTTCACATATGTTATAAGGATATTTGCTCATTTGACCTCATACTGTAGCATGTTTTGGATACGAGTTATAATGACCTTATAATATGGGGCATGCTTATTTTACTTATTTTCTCCATATGCATCCTATTGCATTGTATCTCTCTTAATTAGTATTTCCTAATCACTTCTTCCTTGACCAGCACATTGTAAAATTCACACAGTGATCTCCCAACAGAGATTTAATAATTTAACACCACAGTCAATTTTCATATTGCAAAACAGCACTTCAGGGGGCTGTGATAAATTACCTTGGCAGTGGGAAAATGTCATCCTATTCCCCATCTGAGTTTAGTTTGCATGTTAAGCTGTAGAGGTTCCTATCCCATCCATATTTCTCTTAGCTCACAGTCTCAGACAGTAGAAGTGCAGACAACTGCTGAACTGCTGATTTATTTTAGCTGAGACTTCCTTTTTTTTTTCCTAATAAATTCTCCCTTACTACTTTTTAGTTCTCAATATTTTTAATATTTTACTTGTGTAGCTACAATAGTCTATTTATATAATAGGCAGGATTCTCTGATAAGACTTTGTTCCATCATATATTAATATACATTATCCCTTTGTTTTGGAAATATGAGAGAAGGGAGGTGACTGAGGTGGCCAATTTACCTCCTGTGTACCTTTGATTATATACTGTACACCTCCTTAATCCCCTCTGTGATTATACCACACAATTGAAGAGGAGGAAAGACATGCTAGTAATACATGGCAATAAAGCAATTAAAACAGCAAATATCATCATTGGAGGAAATGTGTTTATTTCAACAGCATGCACTTAAATTACATCAGGAATAAATCTGTTGTTTCATCCTTAAATTGAGCTTGTGCTTATAGAATGGAACATTCAGCCAGAAAATAATTTCCTACTGTCAAAATTTACATTTACCCAGTAATTCTGTGCATGGAAATGCTGCAGGAGAGGCTCTAGCTTACTGCCTGCCCAAGCCAACTACTCTTTTTCACTCCTGTACAAATGAAAAGAACCAAAGTAAATACCCTAGACTATTGATTCAGTGTGCGTTTTGACCTATTTGCAGATTGGTTTCAGTTGCCAAAATATGTGAGGGTTTTGGCCCAGGAAACTACGCATGGAATTATTCTCTCATTAAGAGAGAGAACTGAAACTGGATCAGAGGTAGACTTAGAGCATACCTAGGAAAGCTTGGACTTGTATAGTTAACAGAGCAAGCTCATCCTACTGCATTCAACAGGTTCACAACACAGACATTTCACTCGGTGTTTAAAACACGAACTGCAAGAACACTATTTAAACAGGCGTTACATCAACAGCCTAAACAAAGGGGACTAGTTTTTGAAAAACCTGTAGTTTAAACATTGCTGACAATACAGTTGATAAGCTACTTACCGTTGCCATTTCTTCCACTTTCGGAGACGGGCCAGGAGAACTGTCATATCTGTAGGCAGAAGGATTTAAATGTTGGTTTTGAAAGGGAATAGGATTTAATTTTACCAGGAGTAAAATCAACAGTTTCTCTTTAATAGCTATTGAGAAGCATCTGAAAAAAGACTGCTCTATGAAGAATCCTGCTAACAAAAAAATGCTGGGGAAAGCTACCATTCAGTTGGGCTGTGTCATCTTGCAAGTGTTGTAGCTGCACAGCCAAGAATGAACTCAACCCACGGCTGTCTGCAACAGCCATAAAGTAATTGTTTCACTCCGATAAGATGGGATTACTTCCTTTTCCAAACAACAATAATTTAGTAGGTACTACAAATAGCTGAAGTTAACTACTTGTAAATCTCTAAGTGGTTTGCATCTGTACTTTTATTGTTTTTCTCTTGATTTCACCCTGCTCAGAGGCAGAGCTGTGCTGTGCCCCTGAGAAGGAAGAGAGGCAGACAGCAGATTGTTTTGGGTGTGAATTTTGGAACTTGCTGCTACTCACACGAAACAGCCTTTATGTACCAATTTTTAACACATGGTAGAAGGCTCGTATGCTTTCCTCAGCTACTAGGACTGCAAGGGCTTGGCAGAGAACTGGCTGGAGCATCTGTGAGTAATGCAGTGGTTAGAACAAGCCGAGAAGCCCTGAACATAAAAGGTATTCTGTTCTACGGGGTGACTTGCAGATATACAAATACAAAATAAACCCAAGAAACAAGAACAAGGACTTGACTTCACTGAGTCTATTCCAGTCTGCAGATCCTTCTTTTATAACTAAGCAAACCCAGTCCCTTCAAAAGCCCTGAAGGAAATTTTGCTCAGCTTGTGCTTATTGCCGGTTCTTCCTTGTCTCAGAAACTGCTTTTTTCCCAGGAACTTAATTCTTAAGAGAAAGTGAAATGGGGAAAGACAGTTCTGCTCAGTCCTGTTTGTCTTAAAGTCTCTTTGAATGACCTTGTTCTAAGGCTTTTAAAACCTTCTTGTGCTCAGGTAGACTACTTTATTGTGCTTCAGCAGCAAGTATAAACCGGCTTGTTGGCAGGTTCTTTGTGGCCCAGCCTTTCCTCCTGAAGTGCTTTGTCATTTGTTTGCAATGTGCTTGCAGGCAGGGAAGAACAGTTGAGAGGTGCAATTTGTTTTTGCTTCTGTAATTGTGAACTGTAAAACCAGGATTCCTCTCTGACACGGGGTCCAACCGAAACCAAAGGAAACAAGCCTGTTGACCTCAGTGGGCTTAAGGATCCGGCCAGACAGTACAAATCTGAAATTCCTAATTTTTCCTGGTAGCACTGAGCAGCCATTAATTCAGTGGGTTACCGCTCCCTGTGAAGGAAGTTTACGGAACCGGGACTCAGAGATGTATGTACCTCTTCATTTAAACTAAAATAATGTTGAATAAGTTTTAATGCTTCTACAACAAATTAAGAATGAAGCTTATGTTTCAGAGCTTTTACAACAATTTCCTGCAAACCAAGCTCAATGAAATCCTGTGGCTTAGCTAGTTACCTTAATTTTAATTATATGCATAATAAAAATGTAACAGCTTTGTTAGCAGCTCTCTTCTCCAGCTTTACTGTGCAAAGCCGCTCTACAGTTCTCCCAGCCGGTGCCGTGCTTGGTGTTGTATTAATTGCTCCTTGCAATGAAGCTACATGAAGTAGACATGTTAGTTAGCAATGTCTACTGATAGTCTAGGCAAAAATTAAATTTTCATTTGCACCTCTGGCAAAATTCTACCATGTCTTTGTTGTCACTGTTCTTTCAGAAATAACTGATCATTGCATCCTGCTTTATTTTCCTCCCTGCCAACTTACACAGACAAAGTTATTTTAATCTTTTCCCTCTGCCAATCCCTCCACTTCTCAAACTGCCTCATTATTCCTTCTGAACTCTTTTAAATTTTTCAGCATTTCAAAATTAAAGTTTTGCTAACTTCCAGAGAAATATTGCTTAATTTTTGGAAAAAGTAATTCAGTTTCTTTTTTGGTTAAGGATATTGAGCAATGTTTACATTATTTCCCCCACACATGCACGCGCACATACACACATACTTGTAAACATTATCTATTATTCATAAATAGAAAAGAAGTTAAATTACTGCTCAAGTTCAGAAATACTTGCCATCAGAGAAATGCTACTCACTACGGAAAACAAGAAGTTGCATTTTATACATTTTCACTTATATACATATGTATCTTTTTTATGACAACCAAATGTAAGAAGAACAGTAAAAGATGACTCTACTTACTATCACTACTGGTAGCAACAATATAAATCCATGAATTAATATCTGCTGCGAATTAGTATTTTTACTGAGGCACCTGTCTTCCCCAGGACATCTGTAAGTTGCCTAATGTCAGAGTCTATTCCATTTTCTTCTCTTCTATTCTTATCAGTACTACCTAAGAAGCCAGCTAAGAAACAACCACATAACTCAAATATGCTGAAAACGCAATTAGACAGCATTTCTTTTCTAGCATGGATCACACTTACATATTAGAAAATAATAAGGATGAACACAGGAGCACAAAACACCTTTGAACCCAAAGTGATCAAACATTTCACTACCTTCAGACTACAGTTACAAACCTTTCATTAGCATCTTCTGTATCTCCACATAAGCATACTCTTTTTTGCAGCATCCATAGTTTATTCTCACAGCAGAACACCACCGCAGCTGATGAAACTGTCTCTCCAGTGCAGAAAGGACCCTCTAAACAGCCATTAATATTTAGCTATTTAAAAACTTCTGCCAGTTAGGGTTACTTACAGATTTACAGTGCTGCCTCCTATTGTATTTCACTAGCTCTCCAAAATAACTCTACCTGGTGAGAGACAGATTATTTCAGTGCTTTGTCTATGCATAAAGCAAACCACATGCCACGGCAACACCTAGAAGAGGGTGGGGGAAGTTTTCGACAGAGAGGCGTGACTAGAAAATGTAGCAATCAGCTCAGTTACACGTCAGGACTGACTTGTTTATTTTTCAAGCTGTGCTCGGTAAGAAATCAAAAGCATCTGGGCCTGAGATACAATAGATTTTCTGTGGAAAAGCCAGACAAACACATATTAGAAAAGCTGATGCAATGAGTAGGCACAGTTTACTTTATTGCCTTCTTAAATTAAGAAATCATTTCGGTGCTTAGATTCTGCAGCAAAACCTAGACCTTTGCTTGTGCCTTGGCTCCCTGAGCGTGCACCAGGTTCAAGCGCCCTTGGAATGTGATTCTGTTACACAAGTGCCCCTTTATTCTGCAGGGAGGGCTGTGGTCCAGGGCTGGTGTGTCCCAGCATATGGGGCATTACCATGTCACAGGGCAGAGGAGGAGACGATGACACGTATGAAGCAGGGTTAAAAATTTGCAATTTTTTTTTTTCTGTGCTGTGTTACTATGTAGGAGAATTGTTACCAGTAAACATCCACAAAGCTAACCTCGGCCTCTCTTCAAACCTCTCCTTAAATCTCCTCCTGCTTTGATACAAACACTCCACAATGGCAAGCTGCTGTGCTACAAAACCCAGGTATCAGACTAATCATCATTTCTTTAGATGCTTGCATTCCCTGCCATTGTTTATGACAGCTGTTCCTTGTCCTAGCCTCATGCCACGCAGGAGCCCCAGGCATGGACCACAATACCAGCCTGAGACTCACAGACTGAAAATCAGCTCTTTGTGCCAAAGACCTTGCAGCTTCATTCGCAGCACAGCACAATGCACCTTCACCTGTGACTGCCCGTCCCAAGCACTGCCCTGAGACGGGCACAAAATTAGTAATATTTCACTCAGGTGTTGCTGACAGACAGGACCATACAGGACAAAAGTCAGGAGAGAAGTGTCAGCCTAGCTAGCCTGAGCACAGCCCCACGTTCCCTCTGAAGAGCAGCTTCAGCCTCCGGATGGCAAGGGAGAAGGGTGCTCTACAAACAGCAGCTCCAGCACGGCGTATGAGGCCATCTTTGGTTCAGATCCAGTTGAAACCAAAGCCCTGACAAAGCACGGAAGACAAAAGCCCTGGAGAGCTGCCCTGTTTGCCCAGCTAGAGCTAAAGCTTCAGGCGTGCCTCGAAGCTGCCTCTGGGCTAGCAATGGTGGGAACTGATGCAGCAGGGCTGCCCGGGGCCGGTGCTCTCCACCACGGCCTGGGAAAGCTATGCTTTCCTCTTATATCACAGCCATAGGGCACCAGATCCCCATCTGCCTTACACCTTGTCCTCTTGAGAGGGAATGAAATAAGACGCAGCCGCTGCTAACTCTAAGAGCTTTCATACGCTTAAAGCCTGAGCAAAACAGATCTAGCCAAGGGACTTCACCTATTATTCGCTACTTCATCCTCATTCTTCTGACACAGAACAAATAATCTCTCATTACATGACTAAGTAAAACCCCCATCTTCCCAGTAAGGTGAAAAGCAAGAGACTGGAAAAATAAGTTTAACAAAGTTTTCTAAACAAGACACAGCATAACTCATAGACTTTTTATAAGCTGGAAATAATGTATGTTCTGATTATAGCTCACCGTGGTTGCTTCTGAGTCTGGTTTTTCCTTGATTTTCTAAAGGAGAAAAGCCAAGCAAAAGGTGATCTGAACCCCAGAAAGGAAGCTGAAGTGTTCTTCTGTGCTTGAGGATTTGTGCGAGACGACATTTTTAATTCTTTATGATCTAAAAATATTATAAAAGTTTTATTTGTTTCAAGTTCTTACTAAATACAGTATTAAAGTATACATTAAAAAGCTATGTCTTCATAAGCAATTTTCTTTTGTTTACCTTTTAAGCCAGGAAAAATCAGTCTTGTTGACATTTTTGGACGGATTATGTGACATGCCGGTTTATAATGACTAACTAAAAGAAAGGTAAACAGGTCTAAAGTTTCAAGAAGTATTGGTTTTGGGTGATGCACGTGAGACAAATGAGGCTGATTTTCAGAAAGTAACAAGCACTCAACTATTTGAAAACTAGAACTGTTTCAAAATATAGCCAAATTAGATTTGAAAATTGAGGCACCCACAACCATTAGTCACTTCATTTTTACCTTGTAAGAAATATAAATATGACAACCCTGAATATACAATGGTTTAAGAGACAGCAATGTAACTACATAACAGCAATCCAGACTAAGGTGTCTTCTGGATCATACAATTCTTTATGATGGAGAATTTCCATGGCCACTGGAGTACATTTTTTCTGCTACAAACTGCGTATCAGTACTATATTTTAAAAGCAAGATATCATGAATGATTTCTTTGGGAAGTTTATGATTTGATTTCTTCAAATGGAACATAAACCCAGTCTGCCTGTAAAAGCAGCTGGCTACTGGTATGGACAGGATGGGTATTGTTCACAAATTAGGGAAAGACACTGCAGGATCTGCTACTAAAACATGCTTCAGGAAACTGGAGGAAACAAGACTTCACTGAGGAATAAGGCACTGCATCTTTTTTTTTTTTTTTTTTCCATGTAAAACGTAATCCCTTACTGATAATTACAATTAGGTGTCATTATCCAGTATTTTCCACAGGTGGAAGAAAAGCAGCAGCTCTGTTGCAAATCTCCTGCGAGTTGTAGGTGGCCTTGCTATTCTCATTTAACCAGTGCAATTCACCACCGG